TGAAAATATTGCGGTGATGAAGATAATTAATAAAAATTTCATGATTTCTGAGATTGATATATTTGATACTTTTTGTATGTCTGGCTCTACGATTTGTTTCTTTCACTAGGTTGCTCTTACGAGCAATTACAACGTCGGAGGGTATCGCTTTCCGACTAATTTGCCCTCTTTCCCTTCATGATAGGAAGGGAAAGGGAACAAGTTCCAGCGTGGAGAACCTGTTCAACACAGATCTTGGTAATATATTACAGAGCTTAGGATTTGTATGAAGAGAAGTGTGTAACCCTGGCTTAACGTTAATGCCGTGCAATCAATCATACCTCGCCCGAAAGAAAAACATTTTCAATGTGGTCTTGCAGTTAAATAAACGATGGAAGGATGAACGTCTTTCGCAAGTAGCACTGAATGTTCCATAAATTTTAAAGACGATTGAGAAGCAAACAACAAGTTACGAGACCAAGGAATTTCAATTGAAATATTTGGTATTCAGTCGTAGCATTTATGTATTAAATATTTAGCCGAATATCAGCTCAGCTTCAGCGCGATTGTGAAAGAAAAAGAATATTAAAATTAAAATTTCCACGGAGTGTGAGAAATTTCCACTTGTCCTCGTGATATTTGAACAGATATGATTTTCAGGCGCGTGAATTCCATTCTTGCCCCCTCCCGCCGATTGAATGACGTAACAATTCCTGCATTCCATGACGAAACGATTTCTACATTCCACGGCCAGCTATCGATACCAATTTAAATTCCAATGGGTGCGCCCGATGCTCTCGCGTCGAAAGTTCACGAAGGGTTCAGCCATGTGCGGCCCTGTAGCTACCCCCGCTTGCTCGCCCCTATTTACTATTTCCCTCGACCCCAGCCAGGGAAAATCGTGTAGAAATGGCTCTTAATTACACCGATCCTATTGAATTCACCACCCTGCGCAGTGGTGCCACGTGCACTAACGCTACAACCGTGTGTTTTTCTATCGTTTCTACTGTTCTTGCCATTCCACCCGTTTTCAAATCCCGACGGATTTTCGAGAGAAAAACACCATCGTGACGTCGATCCACCTCAGGTGAAAGCTTGACCAGAATTAGAGAATTCTCGACGAGAAATTAGAAGTTAATTTTAGAAATATTTTTGTTTTGTTAATCCTTCGATATTCAATTGAATTCAAACTGAACGATTTAGTGAATAATTTCTACATTCCTGTTGTCAGATTTAAAAATAATTTTCAATTAGCTATTGCTATGATGTCGAGAAGTTCTTTGTGCGTGTGAATCGGCACAACTACTTTAATTATCTGTTTCAAATATCGACGAAGCATCTCTTGAAAGGAATGTACAATGCTTCCCTTTAGTCTTAGACCTTGGAAATTCCCAATCTTCGTGGGTGTAGAGCCACACTCTGTATCGACGATGTATCGCCTTCTATAAACACGAATCAATCGCGAACGTCGATACGCTGCCTGTACCATAACCAATCAAGATCTTCCCACGTATATTGGTATTAATCGATATGCCTTTAGTGGCAAGATACGAAATAATTGAAATTTCAAACTTATCTTTAATTCGTATAAACTCGATTTCACACAAACTTTTCTACACACTTCCATTAAATCCAATCTCTTGAAACGTGAAAACATATTTAATTATTTTTTGATGAAATCAATAAATGTTGTACTTAAAACCAGCTGATTCAAATTCCCCAAAAGTTCTTCCATAAAGAATTTTCACACTCAAGACTTTGCGTCCTTCTCAACAATTCCCAATATCTTCATCCTTCTTATAGTGTCATATTTCAAAAGATTATCGTCGACATTCTTATCATTCGCCACCCCTGAAAAATATTTTTCAGCGTATC